AGGCTGATGACTGCCTGATCTCTGCAGCTAGAACAGGCAAACCACTGGAATCAGAAGGCCCCTACACCCTGCAGCAGTCCCCAAAAGGACATCCATCCAGACATCCCAAAGGTATCCGTTTGGATGTTCCTCCTTCCAGTCACTAACAGTCCTCAAGAGGGACGATAGTAGGAGGGTACTATAATCCATATTAAGGACTGTTAGGGGGAGCATCCCAAAGGATCCCTTCTAGCAACTTTTTAAGTGCCCAGATTCAAGAGGCCTCCGGTGGCCGCATGCTCTGGCGGGTCCTGGCTTGGAAGCCCCCACGGAGCCTGCCCTCTGAGTAGATGCCCCAAAAGAAGCCCCTTAAAGAGCCTCCCCCGAAACCTTGAACCGCGGCAGACTCGATTCAAGCGCCAGCAAGCCTGGAAAAAACAAACTTCCTAAGCCCTAGACTTTAAACCCTAAACCCGAAACCCTAAACCCTAAACCCCCTCCAACGTGCAGCTCAGGAGCCTCCCGTGGGAGGAACGCCGATGCCTGAAGCTTCCCAAGGGAAGCGGCGGCGTGCGCCGTGGGGTGCAGGGCAGTGTAGGGTTTAGGGTTTTGGGGGTGTAGGGTTTAGGGTTTGGCTATCTGGGAGTTTCCCTAGGACTTGCTGCGGTTGTCTGGTTACCTTCTCCTGCTTGAACGGATCTCTGGCTTCGAAGATGGTCGGTCTCATGCTTCAGTGTTGTGTGCGGGAATCTCGCACGATGCAGTTCTCTTCTCGTTTTCATATCCTGGCTTCGAAACCGTTGAAAGGAATATCGGTCTAAACCCAATACGCGTGGAACCACCAAGGCCCGGACTCCTGTGTTCATTGCGCATAGACCTGCCATGTTGGGAGCTCTGGGCTGTTGATAGGCGATCATGTTGTTTACGGGCTCTATAGGTACCGGTAATAGGAGGGCACACCTATGCCACGGCAATTGTTCCTTGCTGTCCTCTTGCTATTGCCATGAATCCAGGGGGCCCGGGGATGCACACATCCGCAGTCCAGCACGTTGAGCATTGCAAGAATCAACTGCTCTCGTCCTTTCACGGCCAAGTCCCTCAACAGCCCTCAACTCCCCCACCGAAGCCATCGTTCGAAGAAAGGCGCCTCTAAATATGCAGCGAACTGCGTCTGCACGATCACCCGGCTCCTCCCTCCCAGAAAAAAACCTAAACGAGAGTGCTCCGCTCTGAAAAAAGGTCAATTTTGAGCCTTTGTCGGACACGGGCAACGCGGGCAACATCCACATGCGACGACTCGGGACTCACAGCAAATTTTGTGGATGAGAATGCCGAGCTGCGTTGGGCTTGAGGGCGGGCTTAAGGGCACTTACAGGGCCATTATAGGGCTGGCAAAGGCTTAGGGGGCTTATAAGGTCTTATAAGGGTTTAGATGCTCCAGTATTCATATAGGGCTTAGGGCTTGGGACTCCAAGACAGACCCACACAGCACCCCCTTGAGGAGTTTGGGCCTGAGAGGTTTCCAGATGGTAGGGGCCTTTCAAACGGCAACGCTGGGTCCAGAACCTACCCTAAACAGCTCCCTGTTACCCCCCAAGCCGCCATTTTCCGACGTGCATTCGCAAACGGGGGGGGGGGGGGGGTCGCAAGACATTCATAGCTCTGTTGAGTCCTTAACGTCGGGGATTTAGGGAGCCAAGTAAATTAGGGTCTGAGATTCAGGCTTCAGTCGCTTCGGGTTTCGGGTTTGGGGGTCTCTTCTATCTTCTAACAGCTTATCGGGTTTGGGGATTTTGGAGTTCGGGGGTTCTTCTACCTGCTAACAGTCTTCTAGGGCTTTGGGGGACAAAGTTCAAGCTCGCCACGCCGGCGTGAGCTTTGAGCGAATTCGGCAGCTGGTCTGGTTGGGCGCCCCCGAAATCAACGGCTGGATAAGGATAGGTGTTGGGAGACCTGGATGCGACCTAGGGTTTATATATATATATATATATATATAGCAAATCATACAGATACATATACATATATATATATATATACATATACATATATATATAGGGTTTATAGGGTCTATAGGGTTTAGGGTGTATAGGGTATAGGGCAAACAGCTCAACAACCTCACAAGAATCGAAGAGTTGGGGGGGAGGGCGGTGTGATTTAGCGCTGCTTGAACCTCCGCAGGAAGACCTCAAAGAAGGCAAACAGGACAGCCAAGTTCCTGCCCGCTAGGTTCCTTTCAAGCATCTCACTGTAGGTAAAGCTTTGGTCCTGCGAACCCCAACCCGAGTGGCACTTGGCCATCCCTTCGCGGGGGGCCCTCCTCCGACAGCTGCTCTCTTGTAGCAGCAATGAGGCCACTGACATTTGCTGGATGAGTTTGGGGAGGTCTTAGGAAGCCAAAGCGGCTGCATCGATGAGCTAACGACTTCATGCCTAAGCCCTGAGACCGCTCTGGGCTTTTTGGGAGAGTTTCCCCTAAAGCTTGCCAGAGGATGGAAGTGCGTGGGCGGCAAAGCAAGCCGATACGACGAGTGACTGCATTGTGCCTAAATTGCGGCGCATGGGAGCTGCAAGTCTTTTGGGGTGAGATTGGCGCATTCTAGGACAGGGTTTGGCAGTGAGTGCCGCTCTTTGGAAACTTGCGGCGCCTGGATGATCGTACAGCGAACCGCCTGAGGGATCCGAACAATGTATATCCAATTTCATCAGACGAACACAATTTGACTACGGCCCTCGAGTCCTGCTGCTCCATACAACAACTGTCTCGAGGGTATTGCGTGCGCCCCCTTATTCTCTAACATTTTGCTGAGCACAGGCAGGGGGCAGCGGAGAAAGCAGCGCATATGAACCTTAACGAGAACCCATGCGGAGCCCTATAGCCTGTACCCTACTCAAGACACAGAGAGGACGGAGACCGCATATGATAGGGTTTAGGTGTAGGGTTTAGGGTTTAGGGTTTAGGGTTTAGGGTTTAGGGTTTAGGGTTTAGGGTTTAGGGTTTAGGGTTTAGGGTTTAGGGTTTAGGGTTTAGGGTTTAGGGTTTAGGGTTTAAGGTTTAGGGTTTAGGGTTTAGGGTTTAGGGTTTAGGGCTTAGGGTTTTTTAGGGTTTAGGGCGTGCCAAGCGGAAGCTCACTTTGGGAGCGCGCGGTAATCTGCAGACCTACCCACCCCAAGACCGCCCACTTACAACTCTCAAGGAGTTAAGACCTTGTATTTTTTTTTACAAAGCATCACATGAGTCAGCACTCACGCCTTTTTGGGGACCTCCACAAGGTGCGTGGACCAGGGCATTTGCGATGCGCAGACGGAAAGGAACAGACACAGGCAGCGAGACCTGGTTGGCGCGAAGGGGCTAAAGCCAGGGAGGCAGGGCCAGGGAACACAGGCAGTGAACAGCTTGGGTTGGCGCGAAGGGAGTGGACAGCTTGGGTTGGGCGGAGGGCCACGGAAACAGGCCAGGCGGACCAGGCACAAAACTGGTGTGCGGAGAGCTGGGCTGGCACAGGGCCAGGGCGCCAGGGGAGGGGCCAGGAGGGCAGGGCCCTGCCAACAAAACGGCCCCTGCCAACAAAACGGCCCCCGACCCCACAGCCCAGCGGACGGGGGTGAGGGACTCAGGGGTCTTCAGGGGCCCACCCAGGGGGCCTCCAATGCAGGACCCAACAATGTGCCTGCCTCAAGGGTAAGCCAGCCTGGAGGGCTCCCTCGCGGGTCTCACTGAGCGCCCGCCTACCCCAAAAGACAAGAGTGGGGTTTAGGGTTTAGGGTTTAGGCGACCTGGACCAGCATGGCGTGTGGCTCCAAAGGACATAAAGGACACGATCCCAACTTCCCTCTCAACACCTTCTTCTGTTCGCTCCCTCAGGTGAATCCTATAGCGCAGGCAAAGGATGCAGAAAGCCATGGCCCATCCAATCGCGCACCTTTTTGCAAGACTCTCTAGGCGAATCGTGAGCACTTTAGGGCATCCCAGGGCGTTAGACCCTCAGTCAACACGCAAGCTCAAGATGTTCGAATCGCGTGGTAGAACTACATTCGCAACCGTTGTCAGGGATGAATGCCCACAATTGTATTACATGCTACCACATGTTCAGCAAGTGATACAATACGCTTTTGGACTCCGAGCGGCCACCCCAATCGACATGACTGCCGTGGGATTGGACGTGGCTGCGGCAAGGCCCGCGCATTTCAATTCAATCCACCCTCGTGGAAGGCAGCATTGCAGTGGGTGTTGTGAAGTGCCCGTGTGGAATCTTGCCGTCCGAAAGCTCAAGGCCCAGAATCGAATGGCACGCAGCACTTCTCAGGACACACAGCGTGGCACTGCGCTACCTCAGCAGTTGCAGCCCCATCGTCTTCGCTAACGCGTGCCTGATGCGCAAAGGAGGGTTGCCAAAGCTTGTGGTCACAGGACAAGTCTGGCAACACCTGCGATACCACCCAATTTGAAAAAAAAAAACATGAGAGATGAGTCCGCGATGACCATCTATGTTCGAAATCAGGAGAAGCATAAGCACATTAATTCCTGCCGAACTTCTTGAAACCCAATGTCCCAAAACCAAAAAAAACGGTATGGTTCTGAGAGCGTGCTGTAGCTTCGTATGATGTGATCATGCACTTCCTTGCAACCTTCATTTCTATGCATTCATTTGGTTGCTGCATGAGTTTAGTAAGTGAGCGATGAAAGACAAGAAGTTCTTCCTGATCCAGTCGACGACACCGAAATTCAGTAATTAAAAGAACCTGAGAGGATGAGATTCTTCTTCACGCTGGGCCCGAAGAAATGTACGAAACATTGTAAACAGGATACGCAAAAAAACTAAAGGCCTATGAAAAGGGGTAAGTGTACACTCGAGGATGCAAGTAACAAACTATGAAAAAGTCAGAAAGACTATAGCTCCTAAAGAAATGAGAAAGAAAACAGCCTAAGAATAGGCTGCAACATAGCACGCAGCATGTCATCCTAGATCCAGAAAGAGTCTATTCTCTGAAGCGGAGTGCTCTGCCAGAACTGCACCTGCGCTTCATCTTCGTGATCGCCGGGATGCTCCAACTGGCAAGAGGTTTATGGTTTCGAGCGCTTCGAGTTTGAGAGGACGTATGGGGACACACGAGGCTACAGATGGCTACACCGGTCTTGGTCGCCTGAACCTCAACAGCCTGAGAAGCACGGAAGCCACGAAAGTCTGATGTGTTGGGCTTGTCGGACACACTGTGCTCAAGCTGCTTTTTAGGCTCTTAAACCCAAAAAGGGAAAATCTAAAACTGTCCCCCAAGGGCCTACATTGTAGGGCTCCCGGGAATCTGAGAGGCTCTCCCACCCCGAAGCCGGCCGTCGTCATCGCGGCGCAACAGTCGGCTTGCAGCCTCCAACGTGCCGTGTGGCGAAGGCATGGGAAGGCTGCTGACTTCACTTTAGAGTGTATAGAGGGGGAAGAGTCCGAGCCTCGAAAACAAGATTCAGATGGGCGCGAGATGAAGCCCGAAAGAAGCGAGAATAAAATGCCGCTCACAAGACTCGAATTCTTCCGAGTGGTGCTGTGTCGTCACCTGGCTCAAATCTCTTTTCTTTCCGCCCAAGTCCGCAAGGGTCTGTGCAAGTTCCCCGCATGTGCCGGAGGCATCCGCTGTACAGGTCAAGCCCCTGAGCCAGTTTAACTTCTACTCCGAAACGACAATCAGGGCATTCGAGCGACCGGCGCGGCAGAACAACCTTGCAGGCTGGGCATCACCAGCGTCATCCTTGCAATGAGCATCTGAACATCTGCGAAGCGAAGCGCCAGCTTTACAGCGCTCTTCGATACTGTGCCCCCTACACTGCGGGGCTCTGAAGGAAAGATGCACGGGGGAGGTCCAAATCCCCTGGAGCCCCTGACATGTTCCGTGCAAAGGGGTGAGTTTAAGATGACTCGCAGACCGAGGCTCTGAGAGGCGCTTACTGGGCAAGACAACCCTTTGTGTACAGCTCTGCCCCCTCAAGGGCTTCAGAATGCCCTGGGTATGGGGGACACACGCACATCATGGGTGAGCAGGGCTGAGGATATAGGGGGAACTTCATGCAACACGTCAGCCCGCTAGCAGGCTAGCACCGGATCCATTCATGTCAGAGCGTGTAGGAAAGGAATTATTCCGACCGCTATATTAGCTGAGAAAAGCTGAGAACTGGGGCATTTCGACCTCCTCTGGAAAGGCTCGCAAACCTGAAGGAACTAGGCGCCGGCGGCCGCCAGCTGCTTGCACCCGTGACAGCTTTCAGGCTGCTCTGCTTCCTTTGGTCGCTTGGTCTCCTGGCTCTTCTCCTGGCACGGGCTATTTTGCAGTGCAGCCTTGCATGTGGCAAGGTCCGGGTCTCCCGTACTCCCCTTAGAACGACGCTTTCATTTGCAATGCGCAAAGAGCCTCCACAAAAGGTCCTTCTTTCTAAGGGGATGACCACGCCCCCGTAGCCCACACGGCACCAGCATACCCCAGCCAGACACGAAGTCAACACCCTGCAGCGCCACTGAAGAGCCCCGTTGCCTGCGCGAGCGCCAGAAGCAGCTCCGTTGCCCTGGGCACGCCGCCAGCGACCCGGAGCTCATCGGCACAACTCTGGGCGTTGGCCTGGAGCTGCGCCCAAATTCTTCTTTCGGCCAGATCTCGCAATTGTGGGTGCCTTGTTTTGGGCGGGGGGCACGCGGCCTACATAATGAGAGGTACTATATAGTACCCAAAAAGATCCCCAATTCAGGGAGCCTACCGAATCTTTGTGCTGCACAGCTGCGGTGCATTTTGGATCCGGAGGGCTCGGGTTGTGGGTCGTTTGGTTTGGACGAGCCTTAGACGAACCGAAGGCCCCAAAGCCTCTCAAAGCCGCGACGCCACCATGTGCGCTGTTGAGAGAGAGAGGGAGCCCCTTTGAAAAGGCTCGAAGCCAAGGAAGCCTCCCTTCCGCCCTCTGCACCTTGTAGGCGGGCTCCTCCGCCACCTTCACAACGCCTGAGACTGAGGCGTCGGCTGAGGTGCGATGAGGAACCCCCAACGGTTCCTAACTTCCCAAGCGCTCAGAAAGTGTCTGGGTTTTAAGGCAGCTTTATCAGCCCCAAAAAGCGGACCCATGCCACAATGAGGTCTACACTGTCTACACGTCAGCACTACATGTAAGCAATTTGGCAGGGGGAAAATCATGAAAAGCCTGTCTGCCCCCCCCCCCCCCCCCCATCCAGCCGCAGTGGCAGGCGGCAGCTGCTTTGCGGTAGCCGGCCGCCTGGGACTGCGCGGTGTCCACGGGGCCCAGCGGCCTCAAGGTCTGTAAGTTCTTGCGAAGCGTGGTTGGGTGCTGCGGGGGGGGGGGTGACGACATCACCCTCCGCAGCCTGCCGCCCCATTAGGTGCTACTGTCAGAGACCGCATGCCAGCCAAGTTCCCTGAGCCCTTAACCCTAAACTGGCCCTAAACCCTGAACCCTATAAACCCTTAAACCCTAGCCCTTTCTTGTTTTTAAGTCATCCTTAGGAAGGATGGCCGAGGAGCCGGTCGACCTTCAGACCTGAGCGGCGGCTCTGATTATAGGTCGGGCGTTGGAAGTGCCCAAGGCATGGTATACACTGCTTCACAGCTGCTTCTCCATCGACGCTTCTGGCATCCTGTGCGCCATTATGCGGCAAGGCGCCAAGCTTCAGAGCTTCGGCTTTGGACGCGTTCTCAATTTGGTCGCCGAAACCCGGGCACACCTTCAGCTTGCTGCATATTCACCCTTGAAGCCCGGACTTGGCGACTTGGGGCGGAAAACTGAAGCTTTAGACTGAGGACTTGGTGAGTGATTTGGCTTCGGGTCTCTGTAGTCTTCACAAGTTATACATGGGTAATGTTGCACACCGCACCGCTGCTGCACGCGTGCGTCAGGACAGAGTTCTATAATGTTCTATTTCGCATGGACTTGAAAACCATGGCCGGACATGTGTTAAGACTGCTCAAGGCTGGGGCCAGAGGTTGCTGTAGGCAGTTGAAAAAACAGTCGAAAGGTACATGGAACCAAAGCATCGGAAGATCCTGCTTCTGCATTCTCAGTCCACCGGGTTCTGATCGACATGTAGCGATTGACAGGTGGCCTGCAGTCTGGAAAACAAAAACGCAGACCGGCCGCCACCATGGGCACACCACTGGCCAGGGCTTCCATGAAGCCTCGGCCCAACATACGGCTTAAGACGGAAGCGCGAGGTGTCTGCAGACCCTGTAGACGTTACGTTACTAAGTTCAGCAGGCCTGAACCCAAGCATGTACGTAAGCCCTCGCTGAACAACGAGGCAAGCCGCTGTTCTGTCCGCCGTGCGTCAGGAAGATGTCCACGCCGGCGCGCAGGATATCCACTTGCGGCAGCACCGGCGCGCAAAAGGCGTTCGGGGGAGCCTGGAAGTTCTCAAACAGCTCAAGAACTTCACAAAGGTACCACTATCACTCCAACAGCAGGAAGGCGACAGAAACAACCCTGAGTGGCCCAGGATGCAAGGAACTGAGGTGCAACAGGGGACATCTGGGAACCCAAAAACAAAGAGGATCACGAATCAAATCAGTCGAAAGCTGCCTCGAGTTCGTCCAAGGCGTCGGGCTGCGGGCCCAGGGCTACGAGGATCAGCGGCCCGCTGCCTGCAGAGTCGGAGCCGAAGGCGTCGAAGACCTCTCAGCAACAAAGACACTGCCGCGTGCAGAGGGTTGTGCTTTTGGCTGTAGGGCCGAAAGGGTTTTCTGAGGGCATGCTTCCGAGGTGCCTCAGGTCAGGTTGTCGGAAGGCTTCTGAACAGTTCTGGGCTTGTGAAGATGTCTGCAAAGCGAGGTTGGCACTCTGATTGCCAACGAGTTGAGATCGCTAGAAAATGGCCTCAGGACCTCATTGTGCAGCATCCTGTCTGGATCAACAAAAGGGTGCCATTGAAACATGAAAAATTAACTATGCCAATAGATGTTGCGTACTTATGCTTGAGACTTGAAGTGGTTGCGATGCCGTTCTGAGGCCCCAGGTCCCAAGGCCTTCAGAACCCCTCCTAAACTCTGAGCAATCATGGCCGTCGACATCCCCCCTCCACCGCGACCACTCCGCGACTCCAAGAGCGCTTTCTCCAACCTCTGAGCTGTTCCAAAGACTCTTCAGACTCAAAGACCTGCGAATCCCAAAGCCCGCGTAAAGTGTCCGAGCGGCGCCGCCCCAGGCAGCTTGACAGAGCTCATTCCTTGCACTGCGAGAAAAAAAACGGGATGCGCTGGGGGGGATTGAGAGTCTGGCCTGGGGCTGGTTCCAAGGATGGGAGCTGAAGCGATGCCTATTGCAAGGTGCCTCGCTATGACAGCTCGTTGCCTCGCACTGAGAGTTGCTCGTGGCTGACTTCTGAAACCCGCCGGGGCTCCCCGTAAGGCCCCGAGGCTCACCGACCAGAGTCGGCCTCGCCTTCCAGCCCAGCTCCTGCCAAAACTAGGCCAAGGGGGACATACAGAGGGGGGGCATGCGGCCATGCTTCTTCTTGGAGGGCCTTTGGGGAAGCAGAGGGGCTGTGCTCCCACATCTTTGGACCACCCCCCTCAGCTCCTCGTTGTCCCCGGTCACGATCGTGCCCAAGCTGGCAAGGATCACCTTGCCTGAGATGGAAACGCTGGAGCCACAGGCCGTGCCGCCATTTCATGCGTACACTTCCATTGTGTCCATTTCAAGCAGAGCTGCGGCCTGCCTTCCGGGCCTCCTGGCGGTCACGCCGAGTTCCGCGCGGGGAGAATTAGAGAGCAGGACGATGACAAGGCTCAAACTCTCCAGACGTGGGGGGGGGGGGGGGGGGGTTGATATTCTGCGCGAGGGAGGAAAGCCGATACTCCCAAGACAAACGCCTTTCAATCTTCCGACTCCTGGACCAGCTGCACCGGATCTTCTTTGGGGCCTGCGTCCTGAACAGGGCCACGACTCGGGGGGCGAGGGAGGAGGCGGATCCAACCCCAAAAACCCCAAAAAACGAAAGTCATCGACATCCTCCCAAAACCCCCAAAAGCCCCAAGAGCCCCAAATCCTGAACCCTCAACCCGAAACCCTAAACCCCCCCTTGGCAGCACCTCGCTGTGCGAGTGTATGAAGCGGTGGCCCGCGGCCCGCTTGGCACCCGGCCTTGACTTACGCACTCTGGGGAAAGGAACTTGTTGAGAGTGCTTGTAAAGGTTTAGGGTTTAGGGTTTAGGGTTCAGGGATGACTGTAGGGCTTCGCGATGATCAGGAATGCTTACAGGATTGTACGGTTCCTATCTACAAAAAACATTCCTCTACATCATTGCGATCAGCAAGAGGTGCTTGTGTAGGGCTTAGGGGTTTAGGAAGGGATGCTTGGAGCTAACCGCCGATGCCGACGAGGGGC